TTTTGCTGCAAAGAGAGAACCTGAAGAACATAGACAACATGACCACAATATCAAGAGAGATTGAACACAAAATACTTAAAACCTTTGAGCCAAGAAAGGTGAAGTGTTGTAAGAGTTATCCAATTTTGGGTATTTATAAGATTTATGAGAATGTTGTATTGGTTCAAGGAATCTTCATAGTCAGATTACTTGGTATGTCAACTATAACTTTGTAAGAGAAAACGTGGCACAATTGACAACTATTGACATTTTTGCTTTTGTTTTTATAGATGGTGTTTTGGATAACTATCAACTTTTGAGCGTTGTAGGTTTCCATTGTCACAAAAGACATATTGTTCACATTTGATATAGTTGCTTTGAAAGGTATCTGTTGCCTTTTATCATTAGAAAGCACATTGATTTGGGATTTCGGCATCAGCTGTTCTATGAACACAAAAAAATTTCATAGAAAGAGACATAGCGTGAAACAAAAGATGGATTCCACGTGTGAAGTCGACCGTGTGTGGGACTCATCCTTTGTCTTACATCTGTGACTCATTATGTGAAAATCATTTATGCACTTGGATTTACTTTTTGATATCCTTAAAAGCTAGGAATGTTCGTGGAAAAGTCTACTTTTAGAGAGATTTTGTATATTTCATGATAAGAATAACATGCGTGACAATGAAATTTTTGAAAATTTAAGCCATAAAATAGAAGCCCACAACACAAATTAGGCTAAGGACATAGTAGCAGTCCTTGAATTCAAAAAACTATGGATGTATTCAAAGTTGTTGTCTTCCCATTTATTTATTTATTTACTTTCCTTTTGTATGTAACTTAGCCTCTTTTTCTTTTTCTTTTTTAATTGTTTTCTAGTGGTAATCTGCTTTGCAAGTTGACAAAAAGGTAGACCTACTTGGATTTTTCAGAGGAATGACACATTGACTTCTTGAGAATTTAGTCTAACCATAAAATGAACATACATGAACCTTTTATCTCAAGTTGGTGATAAGTATCTTATTCAAAAGTAGTACTATAACTGTTTCTAGAAACATAATTTAACACTTCAAATACTTTCTACCCACAATTGTGCCCTCCATTTGCTTTTTGATTATTTGAATCGATTGTCAATGTAAAGAGTGTTTTTTTTAGTTTTGTGCACATATTATATGCATAGCAGAGCCAAAGGCGACATTAATTTTCATGATGATGATCACATCATAATGAAAATTTTATGTTAGGTATGAATTTTGGATTTATCAAGGAAAGGGAAATATTGATACAAATAAATATTTTTCACTTTATTTTCTTCTTTTCCTTTTCTTTTCCTTTGTTGGCCTCCACATATAATCAATGATCCGAACATAATCTTAAAGTTTTCGTATTTGTATTTGCATATCCTGCATTAAACTGTTTTAGGAAGTAAACTTGTTTTTGCCTGAGAAGATGGATATACTTGTATATTCACATATTCTTGAATATACAAGTTATGAAATTCTTAAGTTCTATTTACAATAAAGCACCCAAAACAGTGTGTCAAATCTGTTAAAAAAAAAAAAAACACCAGATTAAGAAAGGGCCTGCCGTTATTTTATTTTATAGTAGGTAGAAGGGCCTACTGCTAATATACAGATAATTTACAAATATGTGTTTTGTGTCCAGATGCATCACCAAATTTCTTGCAAAATAGTTTTCTTTCTCCATGTGTTAGTTCAGCATTGGTTCACTGTTAAGTTATTAAGATTAGGACTCTAAACCAACCGAGTAAACCTAATAGTTGACTTGAGAACCTAACGAATTTTAAAATGTATTTAATTTAATAAGTTGGTCACAACCCATCGTGATATTTAGTTATAACCCAACGTGGTGTTCATCACGATTCATTATAGTGACTTTCTTTTTAATAAAAATGGTTTTTGGAGGATCTTGACCACTGTGATATTTATTTTTTCATGCACATTCACATAGATCTTGACCAGTACCGCATGTTGTTAATTCTTTGAAGGATCTCATCATGCTTCATCCTTAGACAACATAACTCCTCCTCCAAGAGTTTTGCTGAGGTTCTTGAATTGGCTTTTGAAAAACAAGACAAAAGAGAATTAGGACATGAAGAAAATAATAATGTTGCACTATGAGAAGGAAACTCATAAGTTTGCCATAATTCACAAGGAAATTCACTGTGCTCCCTTAAAATTTTAATTCATATAAAATTTTGTCTCATTTTTCATCTCTTTTACACTAAATATAAAATTTAGCATTGATAATCGATGTGTCTATACAGTATCTATCAGCTCCGATTGCTTTAGCCTTAATAAAAAGGATGTCAAAATATGAATTGAATCGGTTTAGGTTTTTTATGTTTGTTTGCTTTAATAGTTGTTTTGATTTCATATATATATATATATACACTTGAAATTTGGCTTGAGTGTGTGACATCTGATTTGTGGGTAATTGAATTTTGTACTCATGTAACTGATATGAGACTGTAATTTTTTATTTGTTTATTGAAATCTGTTATGTTTGTAACAATTACTCGTGTGCTGGCTTGTTTTTCCTATTAGAAAGAAAATTACAGTGGTTTAGGATGTATTACCTTTAGCAATTGTTTGGGAATTGTGGAAAGTGAGAAACGAATGGATATTTTGATGTTACTGTGATTTAGTTGAATACCCATTTAGTTATTTTTGTTTTTTTTTTCATCAAAAGTGTTAAAAAATTATCTCTAATTATTTCATTAAATCTCATGAAGGGAGAGTTATTTTTTTTAGCAAATTGAGAACCAATAAAGTAAATCAAAATTTGATGGGAAAAAAAAAGAAGCATTGGAGATCGGTTTTCTTGATCAAATTTGATGAAAAGGGGAATTTTGGATAAGAGGAAGGTTTTTAAAAAGATTTAATGAAAGGATTTGAGTAGTTCATATAAAATCAAGTTTTTTTTTACTCAAATTTGAAATCAAATTAGTTGAAAAAATTGGTGAAAGGTTGGAGATGCTCTAAAATGGTTTATGAGTTACCTTGGAGACGATGAAATGCCAAAATTTGATAGGACTAAGGCCTAAATTAGAAAATCTACAAGGTATTAACAATAGAATAAAAGTTATGAAATGATGAGATTTTTAACAGTGTATGAGGACACCAATGTCTTATAACTATTTTTGGAATTCTATGTTTGAGGAGCAAATTATTTGTGCAGAGTTCATAGAAATTTAATTTAGCTATCAAGTTGTTATGATTTGAACTTCTAATTGACCGTGCAAAGAAGTAAAAATAGAGATATCTATAACTAGTGGTGTGATTTGTAGAACGTGTGTATCTTAATGTGTTGAAATAAACTAGCAAGACAGATAGTTAAAAAGTAACTTTGTGATGATCGGTATAGGCATTAGGCTAGGTAGAGAAGCATGCATTGTAGGCATAAGATCAGTCTAAGTGTGATGCTTGTCTTTTATACGAGCCTTGCTTCTTGGGCTCGAGCCTTTGTTTTTTTAAGCTGCAAGGTTTTGTTGTAAGCTGCTTTCCTTGATCTTCGAAGTGAGTCTTAATCCATAAGCCTCAACAGCCTTTTAAATTGTTTGTGACATTGTTTGAAAATACAAAAATATGTATTAACAGTGAACATGGAGGTAATGCATCTTTTGCTGATATGGCTAGCAAGGTAGGCAATAGAAAGCGCACTTGCCTAGCAACATCATAATCATATGAACATTTTTTTTAATGGGATCATCCACTTCTTTGTTCCACCATTTAGTGTTGTAAAAAAATGGCATGAATTAAAAATTGTCTAATTTCGTCTATTTTCGTTTCTATTCACAATTCCTATTCAAATTCAAGATTCAAGCATAACCTATCAATACTTATTGTTTAATTGACTCGCATTACATGGTGTACTAAACTATTAAATTTTGTCATTTTTCCCTTGTTTTTCCTTTTCCCCACAAATTCAAGATTCAAATACAATCTAAAGCTATTTTTGTTTAATTGACTCACATGGCATGGGGTACCAAAATCTGTTAAATATTTTTTGTATATAGATTCTTTCTTTTCTCGCCATAATCATTACTTTCCTTAAGTATTGTCTTCTTTACTAACTCTATTTCGATGTTCTGTTTTTGTTTGTCATAGGTCCTCAATTTCTCCATCTTAACGTCGAAGTAAACCTATACCTCCTCTATCCCTTCCTTCGTAGCAGTTGCATTAGCAGGTGTGCTTTTTAATTTATTTTCTTTTAATTAATAGCAGGACACTGGCGGGTGTGCTATTTTATTTATTTGCTTTTAATGAATAGCAGGGCACTGGCGGGTGTGCTATTTTATTTATTTGTTTCATTTTAATTGATAGTAGGGTACTTGCTTCTGTGTTTTTGAATTTATAGCAGGGCACTGGCTGGTGTGCTTATTTACTTGTTTGATTTTAATGAATAGCAGGGCATTAGCGGGTGTGCTATTTTATTTATTTGTTTCATTTTAATTAATAGTAGGGTAATTGCTTTTGTGTTTTTAAATTTATTTGCTTTGAATTGATAGCAGGGCACTGGCTGGTGTGCTTATTTATTTATTTGATTTTAATGAATAGCAGGGCACTGGCGGGTGTGCTATTTTATTGATTTGTTTAATTTCAATTTATAACAGGGCACTGGTAGGTGTGCTTTTTAATTAATTAATTTTATTTTAATTGATAGTAGGGTACTTAGAGGTGTGCTTTTTTATTATTGGCGTATAATTGATAGCAGAGCACTGGCTAGTGTGCTTATTTGTTCATTTTCTATAAAGAATTAATAATTGATAGCACAGTATTGGTGGGTGTGCTTTTTTTGTTTTTTGTTTGGTTTTAGTTGATAGTAGGGTGCTTGCAGACATGTTCGAATTTTTTTTTTTAATTGATTGCAAGGCACTGGCAGGTGTGCTAATTTATTTGTTCTGAAGATTTAATTTATAGTAGCGCAATGGCAGGTGTGTTTTTTAGTTGATTTGTTTCGTTTTAATTGCTAATAGGGTATTTACGAGTGTATATACGATGGATGAACCTGAAAGTAGTAGGCATAAAGAGGTCAATACTGAAATTGATGATCAATTTGCTCCAGATGGCAAGGATGATGTTGTTGATGTGAAAGAAGAGTTAGCACCTATGATAGTTTACGAATGCTTACTAAGGAAGATGTGTTGCAAATGAAATTCAATTCAGAGGATGATGCTCATACTTTCTATAATGCATACGCTAAGGTCATCGGTTTTAGCGTACGAAGAAGTAGAAAAAGAATTACTGGAGACAACAAATTTGTAGAGAGTAGGAAATGGGTTTGTTCAAGGGAAGGTGTAAGAGAAAAGAAATACTTGCAACGTGTGGAACGGGTAAGAACTCCTAGGGCAGAAACTAGACTTTTTTGTAGTGCCACATTTCGTGTGCGTTATGACAAGACAGTTAGGAAATATGTTGTGACCCACTTTGTAGGGGAACCATCCCTTGGCAGCACCACACTGCGTCCCTTTTCTTTGGTCGCATAGGTTTGTAACAAGTGCAGACCAAGCTCAAGCAAAGGCCATGCGCAATGTGGGTATGAAAACGAGTCAGATCATGGATTTTATGGTCCATCAGTCAGGGGGTTATGAGAAGGTAGGGTTCATTCACAGAAATTTGCACAATCAATTCCAAGCTGAGCGCAAAGTACAACTCGCAGAAGGGGATGCAGAGGGTGCGTTAGGATACTTATTAGCTAAATTAGATACAGATCCATTATTTTTTTTCAAATACACTGTCGATAAGGACAACCGGTTGGACAAGATTTTTTGGGCAGATTGTAGGTCTCGAATGGATTATGCTGCATTTGGTGATGTATTGGTATTTGATACAACTTATCGTACAAATGTATATAAGAAGCCATTTGTAATTCTAGCTGGCGTGAGTAACCATTTCATGACAACTATATTCGGATGTGCTTTGTTGCCTAATGAGACAATGGAGACATACACGTGGGTGTTGGAAATGTTAATGGAGGCCATGGATGGTAAAAGACCCATCTTCGTTGTAACAGATGGTGATAGGGCAATGCATCAGGCAATCAAAAGAGTTATTCCAAACTGCAGACATCGTTTATGTTCTTGGCATCTGGAGAAAAATGCCTCAACAAATGTCCACATACCAGAATTTACAACTGATTTTGCACAATTGATGTTAAAGAAATGTAAAATTGATGAGTTTGACAATGCCTGGGATGCTATGGTGAAACAGTACAAGTTGGAGAACAATAACTGGGTGTTGGATATTCATCTGAAGCGTGATAATTGGGCTGAGGCATATCTCCGTGGTCACATGTTCGCTGGAATAAGGAGCACTCAACATGTCGAGGGTATGAATGCATATTTCAATATATTCCTAAACTAAAAGGTTAGGCTGTACGAATTTGTAGCGCAATATGATAAGGCTCTTGCTAGAATGCGTGTGAATGAGGCAGCAACAGAATCTAAAACAGAGAATAGTTTCCCGATTTTGACTACGCCATTGAGAAATTTGGAGAAACATGCAGCTGAACTCTTTACTCGGAAGATTTTCTCATTGTTTCAACATGAAATCAGGAAAGAGGGTAAATTGTTTGTGATGGAAAGAGTTCAGCTGGAGGATCATCGCACCTACCGTTTTGGTGAGTACAAGGCACCAACATGCACGTGGACGGTTGAGTATTTTCCAGCTGATATCACAATGAAATGTTGTTGCTTGAAGTTTGAGTCGTTTGGCATCCCTTGCTGCCACATGATTGCTGTTATGAAATCTGAACAATTAGTGTGTATTCCATCGAGTTGTGTCTTGCAGAGATGGACAAGACGTGGTAGGTCAAAGTGTCAACAACCAAGTCTTACCCAAATTTGTAGCACCCTAACACAGACAGCTCGGTTTGGTATACTCAGCTCCTGTTTTAGTGAAATGTCATATTATGCCTCACACGCGGACAAAGATTTTGAAGAGGCAAGGGAAATAGCTTTCCAGCTGACATCGCAGATGAAAAAACGTTGGGCAATGAGAAAAGAAGGTAACGCCGAGGTTGGGGACAGAAATATTGCACCCAAACTATATGGCGTTGGTGATCCTAATGTAGTGAAGACCAAAGGGAACCCCGGAGGGACATCTTCTATGGGTAAACCTCCAAAACCAAGGCGGTGTGGGTATTGTAGGTATGGTACTTTCATTGTATGACCTTTTTATATCCTGTTACATGCATATGGTTATTAAAATCATTTATGCATTATTTGCTACTGTAGGAGCATCGGACACACGAAGCGGACGTGTAAAAAATTGGCTTCAAGTAGCCAGAGAGAGGGTAGCAACTCAGACAGTGAACCATTCATGAACACAGAGTTGGATCCCCACACGGATGATATCGATGAATTTCCAAATTATCCAAATGATCCAGTGTAGTTGACTTTCATGATGAGGCTTATAGTGATCGAAACATTGTTTTTACAAGGAGACATTAGTGGCTAGTAGTTACGTTTTGTTAATGTCTTAGTTGTTTTAATCTTAGGCATTCTTAATAAATTTCGTAGTTTGGAGATTAATTTGAAAAATAAAGGTGAATAAATTCCAAATTTGTGTGATTGCTGATAAAATAAGGACTCGCTCATGCCATTACTTTACAAACAATCACTGTTAAAAATACCGAACTGTCTGTCTTTTTCTTTTGTAGATTTTTTTAATTGTCTGTTTGCTTGGTAAGAAATGGTGGACATTGCTGTTAGGTGACACATAACTATGCTTATATTGGAATGGTATGGTATCGATGTGTAGGGATAATAAGAGATGATGGAGATGTGCATTGCCTATTTTTTAATATTTTGACTTGAGTGTTTCTTCCATTGAAATATTTGACTTAATATTTTTTAATATTTTTGACTTAATAAATTTCGTAGTTTGGAGATTAATTTGAAAAATAAAGGTGAATAAATTCCAAATTTGTTTGATTGCTGATAAAATAGGGATTTGCTCATGCCATTACTTTACAAACAATCACTGTTAATAATGCCGAACTGTCTCTCTCTTTTTCTTTTGTAGATTTTTTTAATTGCCTGTTTGCTTGGTAAGAAATTGTGGACATTGATGACTGAAATCAATAAGGTTTTATTATATTTACATTTGTCATTGTATGATTAAAATTTGAATCTCTCCAATGACGTACATATGTTTTAATATGTTTGGATATTACGTAGGTAATTGAAAATGCCACGGAAAAAGACAACAAAAAAAAACGAGTAAAGAAAAAGCGGTAGCTCCTCACGTTGACCTTGGTATTTTTGCTAAACGGGCTATTACAGTAGAGCGGGCTGTCAAGTTGAAGGAGTTAACTCATACTGATATTCCAGCAATTGTGGGCCACTTGCATATCCAAAATCTAATCGAACGGGAAGGGAAGGCTAATGTCAACCTGCTATGGGAATTCTTTGGTAGTATACAAAAGCCAACTGATACAGAGAACTTGATTCTGAAAACAAAACTGAGGGGGAAAGATGTGGTGTTTTCCGCGGATTGCATATCAAAATTCTTAGACATTCAGTGACCAACACATGATGACAAAACACAATATCCATACCTTCCTGGTGTTGACCTTCCTAATGAAGCCCAAATTGTTGATGATTTGTACATCGAAGGAGTCATACCACACGACAAGTATCATGTAAAGTTCCTGAAGCCTGACCTTGCTGTTCTTCATCTTATATTGTGGTACAATCTTGACCTAAGGGGGGTGAAATCCACTTTTGACCATGAACGAGCACTCATGTTGTATGTTGTCCATAATTTCAGCCCTCTAGATGTTCCGAAGATAATTTGGCAAGTTGTGGATTTTGTCACAAAAGCAAACAATCCACATGCAGCATTACCATTCGGCCTCCTCGTGACTGATATGCTACTTGAGCTTCGTGTACCGACTCAACCAGATGATGAATGGAAGGGGCAGATGAGCCACATAGGTCGTGGAACATATGGGAAAACACAAGGGCAAAGTCGAAAGCATCGTGAAAGACAAGATCCTACTTCATTGGAGAGCATATCAACTGGTTTGTACGAGGCTGTGTCCATATTGAACCGAATGGAGTTGCAGCACAAGAAAGACATGAGGAAGGTCAAGTTAGAACTAAAACAAATGCGGAAAGCCTTTTGTGGTGAAGATTTTGAGAATTCAACTAGTTCTAATGATAGTGAGCAGGAATCTAATGGGTCCAACCATGATGACATCCAACAAATGGACACAGACAATGATGGTTGAACAAAGTTTGCAATGCCAATGATTTAGCTGACCTGTTACTTTTTTTTGCATATAGTGTTACTTTTTTTGTGCAGAAAGTGTTAACTTCTTTTTACAAACAATGTTACTTTTTTGTGCAAACAGTGGTGGTACTTTGTTCATCCCATACTTTTGCGAACAGTGTTACTTTTTGTCCCATTTATTATGAAAAGAAAATTGAAACAATGTTAGAATTCCTGGATGGCTTATGTGATGGACAACATTTGGATGGTTTATGTCAACAATATTATTTAGTATGATGCTTCGACATTTTTGATAGACATGTCCAATTAAATTTTTTTTTTTCAATGCCAATGATGTATGTATAGCTTGCTGAAATTTATGGATACCAATCGACTACACAGTTGATACATCGATTCCAAAACTTAGTATGATATTTATGCACGGAATGTGATTAAAAAATATAATTCGTTAGATTTCTTAGACGTTCTTTCTTTCTAAGTCGTTGAAGGATACATTAGGTGTTGCTTACTAGCAAGGAAATGCAGGTCCTCTGCTGCTTTTTTGTAGCAAATACTGTCATTGTTCTTTGTATTTTTAAAATTTGCAAAGAACTACCTTTGCGCGCCTTCTAAGTGGGGAGATGACATGAATTATCACTTTCTCTGCATTAACAATATATTTTTTATATTATTTTTTTTTATTGTTCATTTTATGTGTGTTTTCTTAAATGTAAAATTTAGAAAATTTGTTAGTTATTTTGTTACTCTGCCAAGGACTAGTCCTCTTACACTCTTGCCATTTGAAATGTGTACATGATAGTATACACTAATAGCACAATTTTAGTTGCACATGAACTGATTATGCAAAAAAAATTATACTGTACTATATATGTAGCAATGCATGGACTCGTAATCCAGTTTTTAAAACAGTTTCCCCACTAACATTTGGTACATGTGTGTAATTTTTGATGGATTGTAAATGTAACAACCAAGAGTAATGTAATACAGTTAAATATCATAAATAGTTTCATCACACCAATCTTGAGCAACAATATAAATTCCATACAAATTGAAACCCAAAAAATAATATGCTTTTTCAATCGTCCACAAAATACTACCAAACTGGGTTAGTTTAGTCATCCATTTTTCTTCAACCATCTAATATGTTCATAATTGTGAATAAGCATAGTGCCAAAAGTATGGTTAGGCGAATCAATCTTTTTTCAACCAGCCATGTTTTCAATCAAACTTTCTTTTTCCTTTTAGCCTTCCGAAGCCTAGAGTACCTGTTACAAAAGAAATTACATTCAGTAAGTAATCAGCTGAGTTTATGAAGTGCATAAGTTGTTCATGGTTTGGGGACGCACCTCTCTTTGTATTGTTTGAGCCTATTCATAACCTCAATATAAATACAGTTAGACGAATCGTTCACTAGGTCAACTAGTAGCCTAAACCTTTCCAGTTTATCAAACTAAGGAAACAAAACAAAAAATATTCCATCAACAATACCATCATATGACATTGTAATTGCAATAGTGTAATTATGTGGTTAACATTGAACAGTCACCTTGTGTACACCGGTCGGCATAACAACACCTTGCATATACTTCATGACAAACATGCCACAGTCATAGCTTCATGACAACATACATATGAATGTTAAATTTGTGTGTAATGTTAATAAGAGACCCAAAATTGAATAGCGAATGAAGAAATTTTAGAATACCTATTGGTTTTATGTTGGAGACAAGCGTCTTTCAACCTCTCTAATTCAAACTCCTTCATATTTGCAACATAAAGGTCTCCAAAATATTGTTGCAATAACAAATGCATTGTTTGAACCTATGCATGAATATTCTAAGATAGATTGTGCTGATTGTTTTTTTTTTTTTTAAATAATATTAAACGACTTACCAATTTCCTTGCCATTAATTCACGACGTTTGTCATTTGTGAGGCTGGGACTCGAGTCAAATATATAAGCCATGCGATGTGCCATATCTATGTTGACACAAAACCAATGTTCTTCATGGTCGTTCACCGGAATATATATCTAAGTGACAATAATAAAAAAAGGGTCATGCAACGTTGCCCAACCAGCTTAGAAAAATAAAAAACAACAAAATAATGACGACGTTGATACCCTAAAAAACTTAATGAATAATAAAAATATTTGTAAAATGGAGGGGATATTTATAATAATCTTGCCAAATGGAAGAATGCTTGACACATTACTTCTTGACAGGCATGAAGCTTCCCAGTGTATCAAGACTCCCCAAAATATTCGTCACATAGCTTTGCATGGTCCGCCCATTCATAATATGTTGCTACAATTGATAATGCACAAGTATAATTCAATAAGTATACATGAATAACCAAACATAAACATGACACACTAGATTACTCACCGATACATATGTGGGAAAGTACCACGTCCTATGACACTTATAGGGGAAGAGCCTTCTTTGTGCATTTGTCAATTGTGCTACAACTAAATTAATAATCTGAAATACATGCATCAAATAATAATTTCAAACCTATATCCTTAAAAATGACATCACATAGCAATATTGATGCATGAAATGAACACTTACGGAACCACAAATCCATGTTTTTGGTTGTAATGAGCACAAATCGAATCGGGTGGCAAATTCAACCGGCGTGTAAAACAACTCCATGACCACAATATCCTCACTGCTTCATGTACAAATTGAAGAGTTGCACTTATTGGTGATAGAGAGGAACATACAAATGCAATAAAATTACCTGCTTTCCAAATCCTTATCGAAACAATAAGCCTTCGCAAATTGTTCCTCAGCAGATAAAGGACATGGCCTTACAATTTGTGTAGTAGATGACTTGTGAATTTAACCGAACACATAAACAATAAATTGTCAAACTTCTTGCAGTGCATTAAAATAAGGGGATTGGAGATCAAGAACAATAATGAAATTAGTAATAACCTCAATGGCAGTAGCAGATGCTTCCAAATTGAGGCCAAGTAGTTTTCCAAGTAAGTTCAAACTCTAAAACAAATTACAACGAACAATAAATAATGAAAAATCCTAAAATATATTTACAGGAATAGCAACATTGTATAACACATATATTATGTACATGACTTACTTGATCAAGCTTATCCTCCTTTGTATCGAGAGATGAATTTGATTCATCTAAATGAAGCTTTGTCTTGGTTGGTACTTTCTGATTGGCTTTCCTTTTCTTACCAGCAATGGCTGTAAAAGGTGACTGTATGTCCACCGGCGCATCCGAATGTTGAGTGCAAGGACCGCCATATGGACCAATTGATGAACTAGATTCATCAATAAGTTGGAGTTTTGGGATTTTCTTTCTTCGGTTGTTGTTCAATCTTACCTTCATTTTGTTCTTCGCTTGTTTGGTTTGCTCATGAAGATGGGCATCCAATTTCAAGATGGATGGGTGTGAGCGGAATTCTATTTTCCTCCATGTTCTCTAGTGCTACCGCAACATTAGGTTTTGGTGGGAGTGTATTAGTCTCATGTTCAATTGTAGGTACAACCGTAGATTCAACCACAACATTAGGTTTTCGCACGAGTATAGGGCGGACATGTTCAACTATAGGTACAACTGTAGATTCTACCACAACTCCAGGTGCAACTATGCTAGCTTTACATTTACAGTGGTTGTGCCCCAGTTCCTGTTGTTTTGACATTTGCAGTGGCTCACATTTTTCCATGACCTTCGGAATGGAAGAATTAGTTATTCCACTTTTAACAATAACAACTAGTTCTTCCAAAACACTTTTCATGTCACAAACAGTCGTCTCAATTTTGAAATCTGAATATCATTGATATTTTTCATTTCCTCACTTTTTACAAATGGTTGCATTTGCTCGTCAACAACGAAATTAACATCAACCTATTTATAGACACATCGTAAACAATTTAGTTTTCCATTTCAACATGAAAAATAACAAACAAAAACCAAACATAAAAGAAAGGATACGCTAAGGATGACCTTCTCATTCTGGTAACCTCCTGAATTTTGGAATAGTTTCAGTGTCGCCTTTATTTCTGCATCACCCTAATCAGCCAAGGAGGGGACTGAACGAGCACGACCAGCATCACAACCACTAGGAGCAACACGATCAAAGTAAAACAACTGCATCACAAAAATGTATTAATTTAACATGTACTATGTAATGAAAAAGGCATTGAAGTCAAGTATTTCTAACAAAACAATTTGTAATTGGTTAGAAGCATACCATTATAAGAAATAAGCATCCATTTGGTTGTGAGTGACTTTTTGAATTGTACTTGCATAAACCACGAACAAAGAATTGAAGAGTGAACTTTGACCAATTATAATCCATCATGCCATCCACATTCTGTACGAGGTGAATGAATGATTGTTTAACAACATCCTTTGTGGTTGGGCATAAGAAGGCATCTAATATGTATAGGGCAAATATCCTCGTAAATTCCTCTCCAGCTCCCTCTGTTTTGGTCAAATACTCTCTCAAAGCATTCAGTTTGATAGGTCCTTGGACAACTCCAAGTTCTTTAAATAGCTTGGGAAATGCTTGTGAGGAATTTTTTAGTTCTATTGTTTTGCCTTCGGCAAGAATGCCCAATAACTTGTGAACGTCTAGTTCAGTAAGGAGGAGTCGGTGCCCATGAACATTCAACGAACAAGTTTTGGGATCAAATTTTTGAACCAACCATTCGCAGAGGTCATGATCAAGCTTTGTACATCTGAGATTCAAGAGCCCCCCTAACCCACTAAAAGTGATGATTTAATTTTAAAAACACCAATTTTGTACATTTTTTGGTGACCACCACGGATTGCTCTATCTTTTTGTGTTAATGAAATACACAAAATACGCAACAAAATTAATGGTTTGGATTCAATTTTAGAACCCGTGATGGGCCTCACAGGCCCAAACAGTACCCTCAAATTTAAATTATGGGGGGTCGAGGTAATCCACCTTTTTAAATTTGGAGAGGTCAAATAATTATGCAAATTTATTAATATTTTCTTATTTTCTATTTTCCACAGACTATTTTTTTTTACAATTTTTTTTATAGAAATTTTACTTTTACAAAATATCATTTTTCTCTCAAACTATAACTCAAAAAACAATCCAACCATTGTTCTCTTAATAATATCTACTTTATATCTAAACTATTCGATTTTGCATCAATATTACTCCACCATCAATTACAATCTCTAATAAAATAAAAGTTGCTCATGTGGCACCCAAAATATCAATTAGTTCTCTGAATAAAATGAAGTTTGGAGGTCTAATTGATATTTTATAGATAGTTTGGACGGTAAAATGAAATTTCAAATGTCATTTCCATGTCAATAACTTTCATTGGATTACAAACAGAAGCTAACAGCGGGGGTAAAATTAATCCAAAATCAAATAAACTAAGTGTAAAATTAATTTTACTAAAATAATAAAGGTTAACTCAATTTTCAGTGATAGTATGAGAGGCAAAATGATATTTCTTTTTTTACCTTTATTAAAATTATTAAATCTTCATATTAAATTATGTTAGCATATTTTCTAATAATAAATATAAATTATTATGATATTAATTACATCAACAATTTCTTCACAGATTAAGGCATGGTTTACATTTTGTAAAATGGTAAATTACACCTTCACCTTGCTTACCTATGAATACTTTCTCACTTTGGACTTCAAACTATTATATTCTTTTCACTTTGGTCCAAATTGTAAGAGATGTTATACTTTTGTGACGGAGAAAGCGGCATGGGTCAAGTTGACCTACATTTGTACGAAAATGACCAAACTATTATATTCTTTTCACTTTGGTCCAAATTGTAACACATGTTATACTTTTGTGATGGAAAATGGTGGATGGCTGGTGGTCTGCTGGGCAGAATCTGGCTGCAAGTTCTGGGATTGGGATGCTAGTATGCTAAGGTGAGCTTGCTGTTAGGCTGTTAGTCAAGTCCTGTGTGTGATTGAATCTGTTGGTCTGATGGTGAAGGGCTGGTGGACTGCTGGGTAAAATCTGGCTGCAAGTTTCTGGGTTGGGCTGCCAGTTTTGCTAAGGTGAGCTTGCTGCTAGGCTGCTAGTATGGGTAGACTCTGTTAGTACTGCTTCTGGCTGAGACCCAGATGAAGCTGGTATGGCCGTGTATTGCTGATCTGCTCTGTCTTGCTGATCAAGGCCACAACTGATCTGTTCTGTCTTGCTGACCTGCTACCAAAGGCCACAACTGATCTGTACTGCTTTGACCCTAAGTGGAATGATTAGTTGAGTCTTTAACTATTTCTTTTAAACCAAAAAAGGAAAATTTCTTTATGCATATAGCGATCCCGGGTTTACCCTTGTTGTATAGCGATCCGGACATGTGTCCGTGGATGTTGGTGGTTGTTTATTATCTTGTTTACATCCTTTCTTACTTTGTATTTGAGTTATAGGATGTGTTGAGCGGGTTTGTTACAGGTTGGTTGAGTTTAGAAGCCAAAAATAGGCTTCTGAAATAATTTCAATCTTGAGTAATGTTTGGTTAATTATTTCGGTCTTAAGTTATCTTTGGTTTATTGAAATGAAGTTGAATAGAATAATCATTTTATCATAATGTCCGTCCTCACGTTTAATTTACTAAAAAATATTACAAACATCCTCACGATTCAACAAACAATGTGATGCTCGAGCGTGAACCCTGGTTTGAAACATGCGATATAGAGTCCCCGCTCGAGCATCCATTTCCACGCTCGAGCGGACCTCGTGATCTCAGCCTCTATAAAACCTCAAGTTGCTCCAAATCTAGGGTTACGTTTTCTAGATTTTCTTTAAGGGTTTTAGGGTTTTCTTTTGGGGATATTTTTCTGGTTTTCTTTGATGTTTGATTGAGTTTGAACTTATGTTCTCATAAGCACACATCAAGGAGTTTGTTTGATCTTCTTTGAGAGTATTCTTCTTCGGTGGAATCCGAATATTCAAGCACAGAGTAATCAAAGGAGTTTGATGCTGTGTGCAGTTGTTAATTCGACAATGGATGTTGTGGATTCAACATCCATCTAATCAATTCTGAGACGAAGGTTGTAGTGAAAGATATACAGATTGTGGAAGACAAATTGATAGCGTTTGGGTAATTTGTTTGGTATATTTGTAATCTTTCTTTCTTTAGTAGTGGATTGATTTGTGGCTGTGATTTTTTTAATCACAATTGGAGGTGCTCCAATAGTGATTTTTTCACGTAAAATCGTTTGTGTCTATTTATTGTTTCTGAAACAACAATCTAAATCACTTTTGTACGTGCTTGATGATTTAGATTGTGAGTTTTAATTGGTTGGGAATTGAAACGATTAAATCTTGATCTAATCACAAATCACTTAGGTTATTCA